CAGACTCTCAAATGTCCCTGCACCTAAGAATCTCCGAGTGCTTGACACAGCTGCGGCCCCAGCCCACAGTCTGAGGCCGCGGGTCTGGGGCCCGGGGAGGTGGCCCTCCTAAGGAGGTCTCGGCTGCTGCTGCAGTGGAGGGGTGGGGCAGGCTGCACTCGAGAACCACTTTTCTAAGGTTTTTGCCAAAGTCCACTGTACCTGCCTTCCCAGGGCCTCCATACCCCTGGGAAATTACCCTTCAAACTTCTGCAACAACATTGGCCCGAGGAAGTGACGGCGGCATTGAGCGAAGCATGTCGCTCGGCTCTGGAATTAGGAGCACTGTTTTGGCTGTTCCTGGCTGTGGCACTCACGCTCGGGGGGACCTGTGTTTCAGGTGGTGAGAGCCGCCGAGGAAGCTGCGTCCACTCTGGCCAGCTCCATCCACCCGGAGCAGTGCATCAAAGTGCTCTGCCCCATCATCCAGACGGCCGACTACCCCATCAACCTGGCTGCCATCAAGATGCAGACCAAGGTCGTCGAGAGGATTGCCAGGGAGTCCCTGCTGCAGCTGCTGGCTGACATCATCCCGGGCCTGCTGCAGGTGGGCTGGGCGCGGTGCCACACCCCCCCAGGGGTGCGAGGGGGCACGGGGCCTGGCTTCCCTTGCTTGCTTGAAGTGGGGCAGGTAGGGCAAGTCGGGAGGTGACCTGTTTTTAGAACCTGGGAAGCTGTGTGGTGTGGCTGCCTCACGCCTTTTCTCTCGGCTCTCAGTCTACCCTCCCCGGAGTGCAGCATGGAGGTGTCCTGGCAGCCTGGAACTGGGCTGGGGAATGAACTCTGTTTACAGTAAACATATTTGGATCATTTTTGTTGTTCATTCCTTCAACAAACCCTTATTGCACATCTGTGGGCCCCAGCCCTGGGCAGGTGGGCCATGGAGTGGGAAACCAGACAGTGGTCCTTGCTCTCACCGACCCAGCAAATGTGGATTGAAACCCTCCTGAGCATGAGACTGGAGTTAGATGGGCTCCGGGGGGAAGATGGTCTCCACTGATCGGCATCCCCTCAGGGGCCGTCAGCCTGCATGGACCAGCGGAGGTGCCGGGGCTGTGCAGAGCTCCCCAGGGAGGTGCGAGCTGACAGCTGGGAACAGAGCAGGAGTGGCGGTTCCTGGCAGGTAGCAGAGAGGGAAGGGCTCATCCAGGAGGCGGTGTCGCGTGGGGTCCTGGAGCGAGAGTTCCCTGGGCAGGGTAGAGAGAAATCAGAGCCACGTGTGGTGCTGCTGTTTGCTGAGCACGGGGCCTGGGTTACGCCAGGCAGAGGGGACGACAGTGTCTGGGAAGTCCTGGAGTCTGTGTGGGGAACAGCAGGCAGGTCCCTCCAGGGGTCGGGGGGAAGGGGGGTGGATGAGGCGACGGTAGGTTGAGGTCCAGCTCTAGCCGGTGCTAACTATTGTCTGGGCACGAGAGTGTGTGGTTCTCATTTCTTTAAAGGTTTTTCACACATGAAACTTGTTTTACCTTCCGGAAAGTACGAAAGTTATTGTCCCCCTTCACCTCTTCCTTGTACTGTCTCCCTCGATGCTTGGGGGGCTGCTGGGCAGTTCCTTGCAGTGGCCCGGGCGGGGCAGGTCGGCCGCAGCTCCTAGCCTCCGGGAAGCTCCCTGGATCAGGTGCAGAGCTGAGTTACACCCTGGTTGTTTTGACAAGTCCAAGGTTGAGCTCTGAGGGCACTTGTGGAGATGTTGAAATATTGACGGTGAAATGAATCTTTGATCTCGTTTCCTTTCTGTGTTCCCCTCCAACTGTAGGGTTATGACAACACTGAAAGTAGTGTGCGGAAGGCCAGTGTGTTCTGCTTGGTGGCAATTTATTCCGTAATCGGAGAAGAGCTGAAACCTCACCTCGCACAGCTCACGGGGAGCAAGGTATGTATACTGTTACCTGGCTGTGGCGCACCCGGGGCCCTGCCAGCAGGTCGGAACTCGCTGCCCGCAGCTCTGGACCCCACGGGCTTCCTCATCGTGTGTTTGTAGTTGGGCCGCATTTCTCCGAAAGCATTTTCCTAAAGATAAAAGTGACCAACTAGATAGCGAAGTCACGGCAAGTTACAGCGGGGTCTGTCGTAACTGTTTATTCCCAAAGGGAAGGTGACTTTGTTAGAAACCAGCTTGTCTTCTTTCACAGAAACGCTAAGGAGATTTGCCTGCTGGGTTAGCAGCTTGCTGGGTCGGAACTGGGTTCTCGGGGCATCCACGGTACTGATGGCCGACTTACCACGTGCCCGCCGGGTCCCGGACACCGTTCTCTGTGCTTGGTGGTGTTGACTCATTTACTCAGGACAGCATCCCTGAGGCTAAGGACAGTTACGCCGCATTTAACCTGCCCAAGAGCATTCAGGGATCTTAACTCCCGAAGCCAAGATTTCAACACCCTGTGCTGCTGCTCATGTTTCCTTTAAGAGTAGCTTAGAATTGGGCAGAAAGTAGGAAAAAGAACTATTGGCTAGAGTGCCTATTGGTTTAAAAATAAACTCAGATCTGATGAACCTGCTACGTGAGAGCAGGTAGAAACCCAAGCTCTGGCAGGAGAGGCATGGTGGGAGGGGGTGCCTTGGTGGTTGTCTCAGTAGGGAAGGGTCCGAGCTGCTCCAG